AGGAAATTAGACTTACAGCAATGCACAAATACTTGTACATTCTAAGACAGAAATGAAGACCTCACTTTAACTAAAATGAATGAAAATCTAATACCTATTTTCATTTCCTCATGGCAAATTTCCAGGACAAGTATTTGCAAAATTAGGTACAGACTACTGGGTTTAATTGCTCCTTTAAAAGAAACAGAAATGGCAAATGCCAGGAACTCTGTTCAAGACAGGAAATCTTAAGCATTCTTTGTACAAGGACAGTAAAAAGGGACACTGGTCCCAAGCCAGTATCGGTGTCCCAAAGAACACCCAAAAAGGAAACCTATGGCATGACTTCTCATCAGCCAAACACAATCAACACACAGGAGAACATCATGTTGCCCCCACACTACTCCTCTCACTTCCTCTCTTCACTTGAAAAAAAATGAAGAAAATACAACTTCATAAAAACACCTACAACATAGCAGAAAAGAGCATAAAAAGCAGCATCAACATAAAACACTTTGAGCAACAGTTTGTCCTAAAAATATAAAGAAAATTAGAGTCCATAATTTGAAGACAATATTCCAAAATACAAAGGTTCTCTCAAGAGTTTGATGTTGGAAAAACACTACAGTGCCTCACATGGGTCAGGCAATCAGAACACACAAGAGGACTTCCAGTGCCATGCCTTGCAGAGCACCACTTACTGGCAGAACACACAGTGCATACAACGAAACTACTTCAACACCCAGATCAGAACTTTCGGAAAACTTGCCTCTGGGTAAAAAAAAAAATTAGCAGCAGCTCACTTACAGTTCTCCTCAGAACATAACCCTAAAATACTTGGAGTCAAACAAAGACTTTTGGAAGGATGAAAACAGAGGAAAATAGTAATGTTATTTGTAACACATATGTAGTATGCAAACAGTTTTATTCCTGCAGACTCTGAATAACTTTTTTACTGTTTTCTGCCATATAAGGATAATGTCTTGATCTTTTTAGAACTCTAATCTTTGCACTCATCTGCTGCAAGTAGTGTGTGTATTTGTTTAAAAGGACTAATACTTCCTACATATGGAAAGCCTTAGACAATGTACCAACAAATTGACTGAAGTCTGCTGTATTAGAAGATGGAAAATTTATCCATTTTTAGCAAATGTCAAATCACTGGCTATTGCTTTTAAGATTAATAAAAGATATAATGGTTTCTAGATAGCTTCTAAATAAAGATTACTATGAATGGAGAAATGATTTACCAATAGTCACCACAATGAGATTTCTTTAAAGGTTACAATCATCAGTTATTTAGCTGAAACACTGCTAAGAATGCCTGGTCATTTCTTGAATAATGCATAATGTTCATTGTAGATCTGATCTGTATTATAACAATACAGATATTTCTAAGTTAATGGAGAAAACTATCTGCTACTTTCCAATTGCTCAAGATATTTCCATGAAGTAATTGACTCTGAAAATATTACATAGAGTTACCCGAGTGTTCATTTGCAAGCATGACTTGTAGCGATCACTACACAATAGGCATAAGAAAACAAACTCATCTGCGTTTATAGACTTTTAAGAAAAGCAGAGATAAATACAGGGCAGAGGAAAGAACCTTTCTGAAATATTAAATTTAAATTATTTAAATTATTATTATTTAATTATTAAATCGCCATACACTAATTTGGGGCACAGATTTAAAACTAAGCTTTGAAATGTAATTATTAACACAAGTAGACCAACGCATCTGAGGGAAGTAAAAAAAAACCACAAAAACAGTTGCTGACACAACATATTACCTCTCATATTATTTTCAAAATAATTGTAAGTCTATTCAGGAAATTGCTTGAGAATAAACAAAGTATGCCTGGTGTTTTATTGTAGGGTTATCAAACATACATCACAAGAAGATGCAAGCTATTTATGTGAGCTTGTTTATCTGTATGAACTTCTTCAAGGGCATAAAAAAGTGACCTTAACAAATGAAAATTAATTTGTTTTGTTGCAGTCTCATAAGTGTTTGATCAGAATGTGTTAACAGGTTTCTATGTAAGGAGAACTGGTGAAGTAATAGAATATACCTGTACTGTACACTTAAACCTGCTTATGATGAATTCTTATACATCGAAACATTGTTTCATTGAGCATTATTTTGAGATACTGACATATAAATAATAAAATCCTTGTTAGTATAAACCTAAGTACTCAAACAGTGAGGCGAAAAGCAATATCCTTCCCCAGCTTCCCTAC